CTTTCTTCCTTTTGTTTCACTTTCTCCTTAGCACCCTGCAGAAAATTAAGAGTCACTAACTACATCATGAAACAAGGTGTTACCTCCATAAAGATAAAGAATACATATTTAGGGACAGAACGATAATGATAATAAAGAATAGATGATGATGATCACCTTGCATTCAGTTTTCCCTGGCCTTTCTGGCCTTTGTGGGCTTTCTTCCTTTTGTTTCACTTTCTCCTTAGCACCCTGCAGAAAATTAAGAGTCACTAACTACATCAAGAAACAAGGTGTTACCTCCATAAAGCAAGCTCCTGGTGGGGAAAACCCCAAAAAAAAAAAAATTCAGAAACATTAGTGCTAAAATACTCCTCCAAATCCGTCATTATTTCCAGCAATGAAAAGACACATAACATAAACCAATCATCTTCTATTACCATCTACAAACGCCCTATTCCTACACAGGAATCATGAAATCTCTATTGAATCCAGAATTAAAAAACAAAATCAAAAACAATACCGGGTTTTTCCTTCTGGCAGGGTGATTGAACTTGCAATAGGATCCGAACTTACAGTTCCCAGTTTTCATATAAACTGGACAGACCCCGGCATCAGGTCGTTGTGGATATTGGTTCCTCCAATTATTTCTGTCATCCTTGGATATTGGCGTAGACGTTGATATTGGCATAGACATTGCCCCATCATCATTCCCATCCCCTTCCTTCTCATTCACATCGTCTCTCTCCCACTCATTCTCACTCCAATTGTATTCATGGTTCTCGATGCCATATTCGTCCTTGTCGTACTCATTTTTAGCACTCCAGTCCTCATCTTGGCCCTCGTTCTCAGCTTCTTCTTTGTGATCCGGATGTTTCTCGTTATTCACTTCATTTTCTGCCACAGCTGAACTCTTTCCCTCATTTTCTCTTTCTTTTTTCCCATATTCTTCTTCGTTGATGGCCTGTTTCGATTCTCTCTCTTCATCGGTGGCATTTTCGCAAGTTAGACCCTGACCTTCCTCATTTTGGCCCTCGTTCTCACCGTCCTCTTCGTGATCCGAATGTTTCTCATTATTCACTTCATTTTCTCCCAAAACTGAACTATAACCCTCATTTTCTCTTTCCTTTTTCCCATAGTCTTCTTCGTTGATAGCTTGTTTCAATTCTCTCTCTTCATTGGCGGTGTTTTCCAAGACAAAATTCTGAGGTTCCTCATTGACAGGCTCTTCTCTCAGAGATAGATTCTGATGCTCTTCAGTAGCTACGATTAGGTTTAGCTTATCCTCATCATTAAGATTCGGATCGCGATTGGGATCAGAAGGCAACGCCGATTCAAACCCTAACGCTATCACATCTTTTGGTTGTTTGTCATCGTTTTTATTTTGAGATTGGTAGTTTCCCATTGACTGATGTTGAGATTCTTCCGAGGGTTCCATTTTCGCTCCACATTTCAGACCCTAGTTTAGATAACGGAGGGAGGAGAGAGAAAATGTGTACGTTCAACTTTTTTTGTACATAAATGTCCCTTGAATAATGCCATTATTTTAAATTATCCCATGAACTTTTAATTATTTCAATTTACCCCTAAACTATATAATTTATTTCGATCAACTATTTTCATTAAGATTAACCAATAAATGAGAAGATTTCATTAAAATTAATTCCTAAATGAGACAGATTCCATTAAAATTAATTTCTAATATATCTCATTTAACTATTAATCTTAACAGAAATAATCGATTGAAATAAATTAAGATAATTTAAAATTTAAAATAAAAATCATAAGTATTTATGAGATTTATCCTTTTTTCCTTCAAGTTTCCATTAGAATTTGCAGGTTAGAATCCTCTAATTTCCACCCTTAACTATGATCTATGAATTGGTCATTGAAACTCTTCTTCATTAATGTTCTTTTAAATCTATCATTATGACATTATTTCGACTTAAAAACGGATCGTGATATGTTTTCTCGAGAGTCATCGAAAATCGTTGAGACATTATTTCTATCTATAAATTTGATCTATAAGTTGGTCGTTCGATTTCCTTTTGTCGAGGTGTAGCGTATAATATCATCAACTATTCATACCCTTTTTGAACCAAAGAAGAAAAAGTTCAAAGAAATATATATTATTTCTAATGGTCCTTTTTTTTTCCTTCTTTTTTTTTGTATTGTGGTTAGTGGTCGATTTAACTTACTCAAACTTTGATTAATTTTTTTTCTGATTTAATTAAAGGTAAATCATTCACACCAAGATTAAATAATTCATGAGGGATAATATGACGGCCGAGTCTCGACTCAAAAATGATTAAATAATTAAAATTTTATAGATCTTATGATATTTTTAGAAATTATATGAATGTTGCTTGAGGTAAAATTCATGTTAGGATTTAATTTTGGAACATTTAATTATTAAAAATTTTATTAAGACCGAAATTTATTGAATAAGAATAAAAAATATATATAAAAAATAAAAAAATAATAAACAAAGTAATAAGTGGACACATGTTAATTTCCTAGAATGGATAGGTGTCGAGTGTGTTGTCATGCATTTGGAGACTAAGACAAAAAAAAAAAAAAAAAGAAGGTATGGTCGTGAGGTATATAGTAACGTGTACACTTGGAGTTGAAATGAAAAGGTGATTAAGTACCGGGTTTGGTAAAATATTTGAGATATTTTGACTCGTGCGTGTGGTATATTCAATATCGTATTTTAATTGTGATATGTGTTTATGATTTTGAGGGGGTTGAAATGATTGTACAAAATGCATCGAGTGATGTCTAACAAGTTGTCGAGACTGATCAAGTATTTAGTCACAAGTGATTTGAATATTCGTATATTTGAATTCGTTGACATGTTCAATGTATTTGTACTTTATAAATTATCATGTTAATTCTTGTGTCGTCGATTGTTTATTAGATAACTGATTAATTATTGTTTCGCTCATTGACATCATATGTTATGTTTTGAATTATTCACTGAACTTTTCTAAGTTTACTCCCGTTTGCCCTCTTAATTGCAGGTTGAACTTGAATTTAAGTTTAGTGGAAGATCGAGTCGACCAACGAATGAAAGATTTTTCGATCAGTTATAATTTAAAGCATTACTTCAATTAATAAAAACAAACATAAATAAAATTAAAATTAAAATAAATGTGTATTTTTTCAANGGATCGGTTATAATTTAAAGCATTACTTCAATTAATAAAAACAAACATAAATAAAAATAAAATTAAAATAAATGTGTATTTTTTCAAAATATATAAAAAATTATTCATTGTAACGGTGATATCATGTCGGAGTTGATAACATGGTATCACCAATCAATAATACGAAAACAAATAAGAAAACGAATCCCACACAATCAAAAATAAACTATTTATCCATATAAGTCAATAACTATCGACTCTTCTTCTAAATCATATCCGTAACACACTCTAATACTCCATTTGTCTCAAAAAAGGAACCCGTCACCATTAGATTAAAAATTCGTCCTTAAAGGGAAGAGCAATGCTACAAAATCTAAAAAGTTATAATTCAAATGTATATCATCCATTTGATGGGTGAGTCCTATCAATTTTTTCAGTAGAGCTCACTCATCTCACAGTCATCCAAGAAATAATATACGTTTGAGTTTTAATTTTTAGATTTTATTTGAGTTATATAATATTTTCCTAAAGAGAAATGTATTGAATATTTTGAACACACTCCAATCCAATGGTTGCAGGTTTCATCTAATATTGAAACTCTCAGCTAATTCAATACTTACATTAAAATCACATCATTAAATCTTCAAATAAAATTCCCTAATTAAATCCAAACAATATTTTCCAATTCTAAGTAGCCCAAAAAAGAGACTTTCAAGTTCTGGACCCACAACAGAACATGCTTTTGGTGTGGAACGTAGCGTTTGGCAATTATAGGACTAATAAGACCAATTGTTTTTTAGGACACATTCTATTTCTGTGGTTAACNTAAGATTAACCAATAAATGAGAAGATTTCATTAAAATTAATTCCTAAATGAGACAGATTCCATTAAAATTAATTTCTAATATATCTCATTTAACTATTAATCTTAACAGAAATAATCGATTGAAATAAATTACATAATTCAAGAAATAAATTAAGATAATTTAAAATTTAAAATAAAAATCATAAGTATTTATGAGATTTATCCTTTTTTCCTTCAAGTTTCCATTAGAATTTGCAGGTTAGAATCCTCTAATTTCCACCCTTAACTATGATCTATGAATTGGTCATTGAAACTCTTCTTCATTAATGTTCTTTTAAATCTATCATTATGACATTATTTCGACTTAAAAACGGATCGTGATATGTTTTCTCGAGAGTCATCGAAAATCGTTGAGACATTATTTCTATCTATAAATTTGATCTATAAGTTGGTCGTTCGATTTCCTTTTGTCGAGGTGTAGCGTATAATATCATCAACTATTCATACCCTTTTTGAACCAAAGAAGAAAAAGTTCAAAGAAATATATATTATTTCTAATGGTCCTTTTTTTTTCCTTCTTTTTTTTTGTATTGTGGTTAGTGGTCGATTTAACTTACTCAAACTTTGATTAATTTTTTTTCTGATTTAATTAAAGGTAAATCATTCACACCAAGATTAAATAATTCATGAGGGATAATATGACGACCGAGTCTCGACTCAAAAATGATTAAATAATTAAAATTTTATAGATCTTATGATATTNGTAAATCATTCACACCAAGATTAAATAATTCATGAGGGATAATATGACGGCCGAGTCTCGACTCAAAAATGATTAAATAATTAAAATTTTATAGATCTTATGATATTTTTAGAAATTATATGAATGTTGCTTGAGGTAAAATTCATGTTAGGATTTAATTTTGGAACATTTAATTATTAAAAATTTTATTAAGACCGAAATTTATTGAATAAGAATAAAAAATATATATAAAAAATAAAAAAATAATAAACAAAGTAATAAGTGGACACATGTTAATTTCCTAGAATGGATAGGTGTCGAGTGTGTTGTCATGCNTAAATTTTATTAAGACCGAAATTTATTGAATAAGAATAAAAAATATATATAAAAAATAAAAAAATAATAAACAAAGTGATAAGTGGACACATGTTAATTTCCTAGAATGGATAGGTGTCGAGTGTGTTGTCATGCATTTGGAGACTAAGACAAAAAAAAAAAAAAAAAAAAAAAAA